GCAGACGGTTTTCGTTTTTGGGGCACTTGGCTCTCGGGCTGTGTTAGCCAGGAGGGAGGCTGGGGAGCTGGGAGGGAGTCCAGGGAGAAAAAAACACCCAGATCCCCCGACACTTGGTGTTTACTACACTGCCCTGGGCGTTGACTGCACTGCCCTGCTCCGTTCGATTCCCTCCCTGGGTGTGCTTGCTCAACGGCTTCGCTCGTCGGGGTGCTTCCTTGGGGGGTGGACGCTCTGCCCTCCCAGGGGGGCAGGGAGGACCGGTTCTCTCGCCAGGACACTGCCCAGACGCCCTTTTCTCATCGCGCCCGCGGTGCCCGCCCCGCGCTCGGGCGCAGCGGCCCCCCGAGCGCGCACGGACAGGGGGCCAGGGGCGGCCCGGCGCCCTCCCCGCGGCGCTCTGCTGGGGCCGCGGGCCCCCCCGCGAAGGTGTGCACGCCCGTCTTCTTTTACCATCGGGTCTCGTCGGACCCCCAGATCCCAAGCTGCTTCTGGCGCCTTCCTGCTTCCAGGGTCGGCATGCTTCCGCGATTCCCAGGGCGGGCCCGAGCCCAAGCTCTGCTCTGCATTTACCCGCCGCCCTGCCTCACACTTCCACCTTGCTGCGTCCGATGGGCGGGCATCAGGGTCGGCCCCGCCCTGGTGGGATTCCCAGGCGCCGCCACGACCCCCACTTTGGAGGGCCGCCTGCTGGAGGCAAGCTCACCTGCTGCCGCGCCCACGCACCCCTGCCGCGGTGCTGGCCTCCGCCGCGCCGCGGAGCGCCTCCAGCTCCGCGCGCATGCCGACGGGGGCCTTCGCTTGGCGCCCGAAGCGGCGGCCTCCTCCGCTCGTCGACGCGCGGGGCGGGGCCTCCTCCGGCCCCCCCTCCTCCACCCACTCCGCGGTCGTGGAGGGGGAGGGGAGGAGGAGGAGGAGGAGGAGGAGGAGGAGGAGGAGGAGGAGGAGGAGGAGGAGGAGGAGGAGGAGTCCTCGGCCCAGGCGTCGTCCCGTCCGGCGCGCGCCGCCCGCGGCGGCGCCCCGGGGCCCGCCGCACCGCCGCGACGACGTGCTGCGCCAGGCGCGCGCCGCGGGTTGGCGCCGCCGCCCTCCGCCTCCACGCCGCACGCGGTCCACGCCGTCTTCCGCCCTGCCCTCGGCGAGGCGCCTGCGGCTCGCGCCCCCCCCCCCTCCTCCCAGACCCAGGGGAGGGGGGGGGGATGGGTCAAGTCCCGCCCGCAAGCCGTCCAGCTCACTCCCACCATTCCTGCCAACACAAGGTAATACCCGAAGGGGGGAGGGGTCGATAAACCCCTCCCCCGAGCAGGGGAAGCAGGGGTTGTGGAAAGAGAGAGGACAAAACTCGTTGAGCCACTTACGCCCAGAGGGCTGGTGGGATTTGAGCACGTGCTGGTCTTGCATCGGGTCCGCCCCTCCGGAGGTCTGAGGTCATTTGTTATTGTTCTCGCGCTCGCTGGTCTCCTTCTCTTCCCTCCTACTCCTCAATCCTCCTTCTCCTCCATCTCCTCCTCCTCCTCCTCCTCCTCCTCCTCCGCCTCTTCCTCCTTCTCCCTCCTCCTCCTCCTCCTCCTCCTGCTTCTCCTCCTCCCTCCGTCTCCCTTCCCCTCCCTCCTCCCTCGTCCTCCTCTTCCTCCTCCTCCTCCTTTTCTTTCAGGCCGTGGTTCACCTCATGAGTTTGCCCATCGCAGGTCCGCTCGTGGGTTGCTCCCAGTTCGCCTGGCCACTCTTTGAATCGCATGGCGCTTGAGGACGTACCGTGTGAAGCTCGCGTGTGGCCCAGCGACGCGGGCCATCAGAAGTATCTACATACACTGATCTTTGCCAGGCCCATCCTGGGCCCAGGATTTGTGCGAAGGCATACTGCTCTTCCCTTTCTAGAGGCTTTTGCAAAGCCGAGCTGCAGGTTACATTGCACTCAACAAGCCCAGAACCCCTGTGGACACAGGGCGGTGCTGGTGCATCGGAAGCGCCTCTGGCGAGGCACCGCCGCACCCCGTTGCCGTGAAGCGGGCGGATCCGCAGTGAGCCTGGCAGGTCCTCGAGCTCCACCCTGGGACCGAGGCGGGGACTGCAGCGTACTCGTGGCCTCGACAGCTTGTGTTATGCTCAGGTGTCTCAGGGCCCGACGCCACTAAGCATGTGCCACAGGAGGAGGAGGAGGAGGAGGAGGAGGAGGAGGAGGAGGAGGAGGAGCGTAGGCGGGAGGGAGTCGGAAGAGCCTGATGTGTGGGAGTAAGGGTAAAGAGCGCTCCGGGGATCAGGCATGCATGAGTATAACCGCCAGATATCAGAGAGAGGCAGCGAGTAGATGGCCAACGCTCGGGATGCGTACAGGCGCGCCGAAACGCTCCTGGGAGCAGGCATGCATGAGTATAATAGCCAGAACATAGGGATGGGCAACAAGCAGACGGCCAACGATCGGACCGTATAGGCGCGCCGAAACGATTCTGCGAAGCCAAGGTTTCTGCCGCGAGCGTTTGCAGCGGTGCTCTACCTCGACCCGTTCGGCTGGGCGAAGCATGGCCGACGATGGTGGAGGCCACTCGACGACGCAGCCATTGGACAACGAACGTTAGTTTGCAATAAGGATCAGCCATGCGCAGATGGGGGTGGGGGAGAGGGGGATGGGTTCTTTGAAGCACCCCCCCCGTCTTGAAAGGCGCAGGAACCCCTCGTAAGAAGCTGGCGGCTGCCGTTTAGGATATTGTCCTGGCGTGCTTCTAAGAAGCGGGCGGCCATCTCCTAAGGAGCTGCCCCGTGCTTCTAAGAAGCTGCTGGGGAGCTTCCACGAAGCAGCGCACCCCTGGCTTCTTCGACGGGCGGCGCCCTCTAAGTAGCAGCCTCCCTTTAATAAGCCCTCCCTCCTCACTCTGCCCCCTTGGCGCGAGACGCCAAAGGAAGCTCAGGTGTCTCGATGGGTTCATGGTGCGCCAGTTTGGTCACTGCTTTTGAATGCACTTGCCATGGTATGGATGGGTGGGCAAGGCTGTTGCCCGGCACGCCTTTCTGTTGAAGCCAATGTTTGTAAGTTTGAGTGGTCAGCAAACGCCCACACCTGTCTTCAGCCACTTGTGTGTATCTTACGTCCCGAGTTCGCGTCGTATCATCACACTGGTGGGACAGTGAGATGCAAGCAGTGCGGAGGTGTGATGAGCCAGGAGAGGGTCCTCCTCTCGGGGAAACGTAAGACTCGAGTACGCCAGCACTCGGCTTTGCCGACGCTTCTTGACGAGCGCGTCCTGGATTTTGACGGTCCAGTTTCCGTGGGATGTTTGAAGCGGGAGTTCTCGTCAAATTTCAGAGTGGGTCTCGTCATTTTCATGATGGCCCCGTCTGGCCAACCCGAGTCCCCCGAACCCGAGTTTTACGTCTCCCTGATCCTCCTCCTCTCTCCCTCCTCCCGCCCGCGCCCCCGACGTCGAACCATGGCTTCTCGGCCCGTGGCCCCCTCGGAGGAGCTCTCTCAGCCCCGCCCGCGCCGGTTGTGTTGGCTGCCCCTGCTGATGCTTGCCCTCCGACGCCGCATGTTTGAAACATGACAACAGAAACAAGCGCAAGGAGATCATTTGTTATTCATCGTTTTGCCGATCGTCGCGTGCCCTCGCACTCCCCCCTCTCCCGCCTCATGGAGTAGATTTTGGCAGTTTTTGGCGACTGTTTCGAGCAGGAGGAGCCCTAAACAGGGGATCAGGAGGCACCCCCTCGAGCAATCAGGGAATCACTCGTCTGCCTGCCATCGTTGTGTCGTCCGATGCCCAATTCGCCCATCCGCTCTCTCGCTCCTCCGAGCTCGAAGCTCGAGCCGTGCCGAGCCCCACCATCTTTCAGCATCGTTAAACCTATCTTCGTCCCCGCAGAGCCCGGGTATCTCAGCCCCACCCGTCCACCGTTCTTAGCCCGGGAAATTCGAAAGAACAGGCATACATCCCCACCTAAGTGGGCCACGCCAGTTGAGCAACGCAAGAACACGGGCTCGGCTGCGCCGACATTCGCGCGTAAGTTCCCTGCGTAAGGTCGCGCGTAAGCGCCTCCGTTCCCGGAGCAGCGTGCCATGCTGGCGGCCCGCGTAAGACCCGGTTATGATCGTCGTTCAGTTGGTGATGGTCAGCCACGCGCGGAGGGAGGCAGGGGGAGGAGGGAAGGCCTCGTAGAAGCACCCGCGCTTCTAGGCGCGGGCCTTGCCTGCAGATGTAGCGCCAGCGCCTTCTATGAAGCGGCCTCCCTCTAAGGAACCTTCCATCCTCCCCCATAACCCCCCTGTGTGCGCCGCCAATCAAGAATGCTCGATCCTTTCGGACGCTCTTTGAGCCCTGGTGGATTTGCGTGGTATTGTACATGCTCGCCGTTCTCTGCTCGGTGTGTGTGTGTGTGTATGTGTGTGTGTGTGTGTGTGTGTGTGTGTGTGTGTGTGTGTGAGCTGGTGTACCCGGCGTTTGCCTCAGTCCCCGCCGACTGAGAAGGGGACGAAGGGAGCGAAGGAGAGAGAAGAGGAGGAGGAGGAGGAGGAGGAGAGGAGGAGGAGGAGGAGGAGGAGGAGGCGGAGCAGGAGAGCGCAGATGAGGAAGAGGCGGAGCATGGAGAAGGAGCAGGAGGATGAGAAGGAGGAATGAGAACAAAGGAGGAGGAGGAGGAGGAGGAGGAAGAGAAGACGGAGGAGGAGAAGGAGAAGACGGCGGAGGAGAAGGAGGAGAGAAGGAGGAGAGGAAGGAGGTGGAGGAGTAGGAGGAGGAGGAGCAGCATGATGATGATGATGATGATGATGCTAATGATGATGATTGATGATGATGATGATGATGGATGATGATGATGATGGTGATGATGATGATGCTGGATGATGATGATGATGATGATACGATTACGATGATGATTGATGGACGACATGATGGAGGATGATGATGGATGATGATGATGATGATGAATGATGATGATGATGATGATGCTGATGATGCTGATGATGATGATGATGCTGATGATGATGATGATGATGATATGATGATGATGATGATGATGATGATGATGATGCTGATGATGATGATGATGATGATGAGGAGGAGGAGGAGGAGGAGGAGGAGGAGGAGGAGGAGGAAGAGGGGAGGAGGAGGAGGAGGAGGAGTGAGGAGGAGGAGGCGGAGGAGGAGGATGAGGAGGGGCGAGTCGTCTCCCGCCGAGAGAGACAGAGGGGGAAGCAAAACCAAAGACCTCCTGAAATTAGGGCCACCACGAGGGTGCGAAGTGAGTAGCGCTTCGCGCTTCGCGGCCTGGGCGATGGCAGGGCGAGGCGCGAGTCCCTCGTCCTGTTCCTGGGGAGAAGTAAGGGAGGAACGACCACCCTGACCCCGATCGCTGGCGTTTCCTAAACGGCCCTGGGCGTTTCCCAAACGGCCCTGCCCTGTACGATTTCGTCTCTGGGTGCGTTCACTAAACGCTTTGGCTTGTTTGGGTGCTAAGTAGGACGTTTTTTTTGTCGTCTGTCATTTGCGAAGCAGCGTCCCTACCGAAACAGAACGGAAACATCTGAAGATTAAGGATTCTTGAGCTGCGGCAAAGAGCAGAACGAACAAAAAAGGTACCGATACCGTTTGCCCGTCCTGGAGCGCCCTCGTCGCCACGGCTGGATCCTCCTCCAAGTTGTTGGTCAGGAAGCACCCCGGGAGAGGTCCGCGGTGCAGTTGGTGCTGGCCCCGCACTGCTCGTCGCCGTCGCCTGCCCCGCACTGCTCGTCTGCCGCCCCGCCTGCCAGGGAGCCGCCCGTCTGCCCGTCGCCGCGCCTCGCCTCGCCCTGCCGCGCCTCGCCTGCTTCGAGCGATCGGCCAGGCGAGGACCCGCCGCCGCCCCGGCGCGGGGTGCCGCCGCGGGCTCCGCGGCGGCGCAGGCGGCGTCGCGCCCGGGGTGGCTGCGGCCGGGCCCAGGCGGCGACGCGCTGTGTGTCTTTGGGGGAAGGAGGACGAGACGCACCTTCACCCCTTTTCTGACAGTGCGCCGATATGGATCGGAGATCGTTGCGTTATGAGTGTCTTGCAAAAACAGAATCGCCGACTCGGGCGAAGAAGCAAACGAATTGGGCAGGTGGCGGGCGCTGCGGGCAAAGACGGGCAACAAACAGAAGCGCAGCAGAAAGAGGGCAAGCACGGAGCAGAGTAAGCGCCCACCTGCCCTGGGGGAGGTAGCCGAGAAGCACAAGAATGACAATGAGATAGATGATGACCGAGATCTACTGAGGAACCCCACCCTTTCCTGGCCCTCTCCCTCTTTGGGGCTGGGGCAGAGTGCTTCGGCTTTCAGTTTCCTAGTGTACATACCTCGCCAAAGGAGCGCAAGCGGTATACCGCCCCCAAACTGCCCCTCCCCCTCTGGGGAGGGGGGCCGGGTGGGTGTGTGGGTGATCTTCTGCTCCCCTAATTTTGGCTTCTGCCCCCGCGTGCTGACTTTGCAGCTGCCGCCGCGCTGCTGATACGGACGATGCCGACAGCGATGATGACGATGATGGCGGCGATTATGGTGGCGGTGGCGACGACGATGGCTGCACCGCGCCTCTTTGAAGGGGAGGCGGGCAGTGATCACAGCCCGTTGCCTCTCGCTGCTTCGCGCCCCGCTACACCCGCCAGACCGCGGCTCACACCGGCCAGCGAGAGGACCTGATCGCCTCGCGCAGGGCAGGCAGAGCAGGGCTTGCACGTCCCGTTCAGAGGCAGTGCTTTGGCTTCAAGCGGGGCGAGTGCATCGTGATGCCGGATCGTGACCCCCCCGAGCAGTGTAGCCTCAGTAGGCCAGTAACTGCGAGTGGCTGCGTGTGCCAATCGAGGGCAGCACCTGCGCAGTCAGTGCACGGGGCCACCCGCACACGATGCCTGGTTCTGCCTCTGTGCTCCTGCTGCTGGTGGGGCAGCGGCAGTGCTGGTGCGTCTGCCGCTTCTGGCGCCGCCCGTGCCTCTCCTGCTGCCTCGTGTAGGGGGCGTCCCTGCCAAGCCCCGGCTCGGCCGACCGACCGGCCGACCGACAGCCGGAGGCAGGAGCACAGATCCAGCCAGGGCTCACGGGCAACGATTGAGGGGGGATAGGCACTGGGGGGATGCACCGACCCCCAATCGCCCACTGATCTCTGACAGGGGCCCGATGGCCCCAGCCCGCCCAGGAAGGTGCGGTTCTGCTATCGGGGGCCTGTCGCCGATCTGTCCGCGAGGTGTCGCCGACCCCAGTTCGGTGCGTCCCCCCTTGTGCCGGTCCCCCCCTCCCACATCGTTGCCCCGTCAAGGACGCTGAGGTACGCACCGCTTTGGACTCGGGAGGTGCGCTCTGGCTTCGGGCCGCTCCTCAGGACCCAGGCCGGGGACAGCTGCGCGGGGCCGAGGGTCGCCGTGGCCGGGCAGGACCCTTCGCTCCGGTTTCCGCCGCTCCCGAGAGCAGCGGTACGACCTCTGACGGCGGAGGGGGGGAGAACGAGAGGGGGAAGGCCTTCTCGGACGGCGGCGGGACAGACGAGCCCCCGCGCCTCCCGAGAAG